TCTGTCCACAAATATTTGATGTACGATACCTTAAAGAACCGTGCAAGAAGTATACAAATCCATTAGAACTGCTTATAGACAATCCTACAAAAACTTGATTTATTAAAACTTCGGATGCTTCTTACTCTACAGTGCTTCAATGGGGAGACGTTCTGCATTACTTCCACTGTATTACTGTGGTAGTGCTAGTTTGTATTTCAGGCAATATGTGATTAGTTGGCCGGGTCTTGCAGCATCTCACTGTGGTTGGCGACCTGCTCACAAAGCAGGGTAGATGTGTGTGGGCATCCTCCTGCTTTTGGAAGTCAAAACACCCGTCCATGACTTCCCCTTGGAACAAGCTAAGCAAGGGGAAATTCCTGTTTTTAACTGCTGTGGATAGATTTCAACACATCACAACCTGTCAGCAGCTCCTGTGTCACTCAGAGCTGTGATAAGAGCAGTCTTACGACTCTGGGTGATAGCAGGGATTTGCCTTAATAAATAAACTGTAGCTTCTGTTGAGCACACTGCTGCAGCAGCAAATGAGAGAAGGTTCTTAATGATTAGAGCAGCATTATTTGAATCAAGTGGTTTTTTCGCGTGTTTTGGCAGTCCTTGATATGGCAGATAAACAGTGGCTTTGTGTTCTCATAGCAGGAAGGATTGTGTGTAAATACACTTAAAGATGCATTTTAATTGCAAAATGAATTTCTGGGTTGCTTTAGCTATTATGATGGCTCTTGCTTTTAATGAGTAGCCATTGAAGGGGATGTTAGCTGCTTACAGTTCTGTTTTGTGCTGGAGCTAACATTAACCAGTAAGTCTGGATGTCTTGATGTAAATGCCTTTGCAAGAGGCAGCTTTAGAGACACTTATAGGAGGGGGGGAAAATGTGAGAGATTCTGGGAGGCTTCTTGGCTTGAATGGAAAACTTCTGGAATGTGCTGTCAATTTTAAATCTTGAGCCAGATTTACAGAGCAACAGGTTTTTTTCTTAATTTATATGGTGAGAGACTTGAGAAACAGCTTTCTATTATTCAAGTTTGAAGGTAATTTCTGATTATTTCTCCAGTTGTTATCCTTTTGCTGCCCTTTAGATATAATCCAGAAGCATGTACCATTCAGTGTCAGTCTACCAGAAAAAAACTTACTAGCATGTTTGTACCTTCCACCAATATTAAAATGTAGAAATAAGTAACTATAGTTACACATGTACTTTCAAGCCAATTTATGTTATTTTTAGGGAGTTTACAAATTACTAAATATCTGTAACTTTTCTTCCTCTCCCATTGTATTTTTTCCTAGCTGGAAAAGAAGCAAACAACCCCTCCATTCCAGCCTCAGATCACAGATGATTATGGTCTGGACAACTTTGATACGCAGTTCACCAGTGAACCTGTGCAGCTAACCCCAGATGATGAGTAAGCTTTCTTTTTCCCTGAATGCAGTCACACATAAATTTATCTTAAGTTATAAAAGTTGTTTTCTCATAGTGATTTTTAAATATGTACTTAGCTTTAGTACATAGTCAATGTCTTCAAATATTCTACAACTTACCTTACTTTCTGTATATTAGAAAATTGCTCATAATCCCTAAGTTGGTCAGAACACCTCATTAATTTACTGTTGGGCACGTGCTTGCTCAGCAGCAACATTTAGTTCGAACCCAGGCAGTTTGGATCTTAGATTGTCCAAACTCTACTAAAGTAACTGTACACAGTTCGGGGTATTTACAGAAGTGCTAGCAGTTCAAGTTGAAGCTTGACTGATGTCTGGAAGGACGAGGAGAAGCTCTGTGCAGTACAGGGCAAACATCAGAAGAAGCGTTCTTGTAGCTGTCGCTTGTGTGTGAAGCATTATTGCGTGGTGCTGTTTTGTCACAAGTACAGTGAGGCTATTTGCTGCTGGTCTGGCATTTTGGTGCAGATCAAAAGTGAATCAGGAAATGCTGAGCTTTCCCAAAAATGTGAGACAAATAATATTGAAATTGCAGTGCAGCAAGAATTTTTTCAGGAGAGCTTTACTGTGAGACAGCAGGAAAGCTTTGCTTCTACTTCATACACTTGCTTTTTATTTTCAGTATTTTTAATTTCCTCTGCTTGCTTTTTCCTCATTAGGCTAGAAGCCCTGTGCTGTAGACTATACTGCATTTGTTTTCCAAACATCTGCAGCCTGCTGCCTTGTTCACATTTGAAGAAAACCAATTTGTTGTGTTCTAGAGTTGTAACTGGATTCTGCAGAGCTGGTTAATGAAGGTGTGCCCAGATCGATCTGTGGCTCTTTTTGGGTGCCTAATAAAGCCGATTCTGAAGTACTGTTTTTGGAACTGGGCATTTAGTAATGGATTTACTATTCCTAATTTACCAGATACTGCCTGAAGTGCTGCATGCAGTTGTGTGCCATCTGTGCAAGAGGCTGTTGCATGTAGTAACTGTTAGCAGGCACATTCCAGCCTTGTATGCTTCTGTGTGCTTCCCTTCTTCCTTGCTGCTACACAACAAAGCTGAACTCTTGTGAAAGACAGTGGCATTTCAGAGCCTCTTTGTATTAAGGTGCCTGCTGCAATCCTAGGTTGGCCCTGTGAATGGGATGAACCCTGAGTACGAAACACATCTTCAGAGGTGTCCCAACCTTTTGTCCCATTTGTTGATGCTTCTGTATGTCTGTGACACAGCTTCCTGTAGGTATTCTGCTGTTACCTGAGGAAAACAGATACAGCAACACCACTACCTGCAACCAGTAAAATGACATTTGTTTTTTGTTTTTCAGAGATATAATAAAACGAATAGACCAGTCAGAATTTGAAGGATTTGAATATATTAATCCATTGTTGCTGTCAACAGAAGAAACAGTATGAGGGAAAGGCATCTTTGCTGTGGACGATGTGAATGACCTTAAATTTATACTTACCTACAGTATATGCATGCGAGGCTGGGAACTGTAAGATTCTGGATGGAGACCAATGATTTAAAAAAAAAAAATTGCTGCTGAAAATCAAAGAAGAGAATAATGATTTTGGTGGGTGTCTTACCACCACTAAGTTATTCTTAAATTCTGGGCACTGACACAACTGGCTTCATTAATGAAGGAATTTGCATTTTGTGCCTATTTCATGAAGGATTGAAACACTCATTGCATCTCTGGGAAAGGAGTTTCTGGACAAGTTTGAGAACTGCACGCTTTCTACAAACATTTGATGCAATGAGTTCCAGTTGAAGAATATTAGTGTAACATCCTGAAGAATAAAATATATTACGGTGGTGTTGAAGCTTATTTTTGATGCCTTTTTTCACAAGTGGTACCTGTCTAAACGTCTCAGATGTATTTAAAAGGAGTTGTGTTTTATTAGCAATCAAAACATAAGTTTGGGTACAAGATTTAAGTGCCTAAATGGATAAACTGCATTGAAGAGTTGTTACATATTTGGAGCGTTCTTAAACCTGGTAAGTTCTGCTTGTTAATATTCAAGTAATCATTTACATATAAACATGGTTCACAGCTGCAACCTAATGTTCACTTGTTTCTTTGTAGAATTTGACATGTGGAGTGACTCAGCAATATTAATTCCGGGTTAAATTGTACAGTATCAGTTTCCAAATCTGTTGTTTTAAATTCCAAATCTACCAAAATGTATCAATTGAAGAAAACTAAATTTGCACAGGAAGGATTTCTGGAAATATTGAAGCAGTGCCTACACCTACAGTGATATTGTGTACCAGATCTTTGGAAAGTGTTCTCATCAACAGCACGAATACTCAGAAACAGAGAGGAAGCATTAATAATAAAGCATAGCCTTAAAGTTTAAGTAGTGAATCTAGAATAACCATAGCAGTCAGCTTTCCTGATAAAGCACACCTCCTGCTTATGATAAACTGTCTGCTTACGATTGCTCAGTGCATATTAATAAACTAATCATTCTACATAAAAGAATGGGATGTTTTGGTAAAAATGGTTTGCATCCAAGTAGTAACTTCTTCTTAATTGAAGAACAAAGCATAGCCAAGAACTTGGGTACGCAACAGTAACTGTCAAACCCCTTCCTGTAGAAACTGGGGGTGGGCTGGGGGACAGGGAAGGTGGGGAAAGGTGTGTGTTCCATCCAGGTCAGTTACCAGCTTGGAAAAGCTCTGTCACTACGTATGGGAATTGGTGTGCATTGCTATCTGAAATGTCAGACGCTTGTGAGGACTCACCTGCCTCTAAAGTAACAACGTGAGGCACTATTTCTTTTTGCTGGGTTTTTGGTTTGCTATATGGTGTGGGTTGTAAATACAAAACAGGAAATATTGAGAAACCCTGTGCCATGTCATCTCGCCTAATTTGGTGTAAACTGCAGGACAAAATGCAACACTCTCACTTTCTTTGTATTAACATCTGGTTTTCTCAGGGTACAGCATTGCATTAGGTGCTGAACATGACATCTTTTGGATTCACATCCAAGTCATGAGGTGCTAGGATGAGACTGCCAAAACATTGTTTAAAACTTTCAATTAACCATTAACAGTCCACATTTTGTATCCCTTCATTAGCAACAATTATGCAGATGTGTGGTTTAGTTCTATTAATCCCATCCAGATCTAAGTTGTGGGTTTCTCTCAGTTGACTGTAGCTTTTTGTATTAAGCAAGATGTATTTTAATCAGCACTAAATAATTTAACCAGTAAGAAGTACTTGCCTCAAATGCCTGGATTTTAGATACTTTATCTAGAAGACAAAATCTTTTAAATCTGTCATTTTCAAATTATTTTTTCCTTCTCCTTGCCAACTGCTTTGTTTACCCTGAAAACTTTTTGTTTCAGTTCCCCTGGTTAAACAGCTGATCAATAGCTACACTAGCGACTGCAGGCAGCTCATGAAAGGAAACGGGGCAGATGAAGCTGTCCTCTGATGTGCTGAGGCATAGAACTTGAAAGAGTATAAATGTGATTTGTTGGTTTTTGTTTTTTAACCGTGTTCCTGGGTGGCCAGAACATTTTTGGGAGGGAGGGAAGGCAGAACAGAGACGTATCTGCTGAACAAACATTGTAAAGAATACTTGATTTATTTAAAAACTTACAGGCATTTACAATGTTGCTGTGTTGCCAAATAGTTTGCTGGATACAAGTTTGGTTGCTCATGTGCAAGTGTATGAATAATGTTCTGTTCATAATGAAGGGGAAATTTTTTATATAAAGTACTTGTTTTATAAATAAAAGAAAATGAAGGATGTAATGTGTGGTTTAAAAAAATCCTAATATATTGCAAATGGATCTGGTTATGATATATAGTTGTCTTATTTGAAATAGTAAATGAAAATTCTAGCTAATATAATGATTGTAAAACAGTAAATATGTTCTTGTAGTTTTGTATAATTAATTAGTTGGGATCTTTGACCAGTTTTATTTGTGCAGAAGATGGTATACTAATCCATAACAGCTAAGATCATTTATATTCTTGCACATCTATTAAAGACTTTAATGAAAAAGTTAATTGTTATTATTTATCAGTAAACTGAGCTATGTCCAACTTGCACTTTTTAAAGCGACCTTATTGTAAATTAAAAAACCTGCAGAATTATGCCTGTACTTCAATGCTGTAGTCTGTTTATTCAATGGACTTGGCTCGCATCTGAACTGCTGGCTCTTGAGGTCCAGAAGAAAGGTTTGCTGAGACAGAAGTTCAGATACTGGTCTGCTGTGCTCTTTCACGTTCCGTGAAGGCAGCTGCACGTGCTTGTCTCAGCTATTTTGGTTACGTATGGGAGGACTTAAAACCATCCCAAACAACAGGCAGGTGGCACTTGACCTTCTCAGTTCCTGACAGATGATATTTCAGGAAGTTTGAGACAAGGACATGTTTCCTTGACACATCTTTCCTCCTCCTTAGAGAAAGGTTCATACTTGACTTTGTCCCTTTGCTCTTCATTATTCTGGATCTACCACACGATATCGTCTGTGCTTTCAGATAAGCATCTAGCAAGATGGCCATCGATATCCAATTGTGACAGCCTGCAAACAAAAAGAACTTGGTGAGATAGAGCCAAACAACTCCATTTATGCCACTCCTCCCCTCCTCTCAATTCCTGTAAAATCTCGTTGATGAAGCCATTCTTTTGTCTCATTCAGCCTTTCAGAGAAGGACAGCATTTGGCAGACATAGCCTGCGGTGTTCGAGGACCTGTTCAGAGCCGTACTAGCTTTCAGCAACTGCAAAAACCTAAATGCTAGTAAGTGGTGTTATTTCAAGAAAAAACATAACTCACATTGTACAGTAAATTGTAGAGTAGGTGCTAAATTGCTGGAAGGGAGATTTTTTAATAGAGGTAGTTAGAGAGTAATGGAGGGCTGAATTCTGCCATTAAAAAGCCAAGTAAAAATTTTGCCTACTTGATTTTCATAACATCACATAGAATGTAGCCAGAAGTATTGCTTTTTGTATAGATGGAAGACAGCACAGAGAAATAGGAGACTCACGTTTCATTGAAACGAATCAGACACATTGGGCAGCTGTCAAGAGTTGAAGATCCTTCACTCTGATGTCCAGAATTCTCCTTGCAGCTCTCATTTCCAGCCATGCTCCCCAGAGGTTTCCTTTCTGCAGGCGCGCTTCTGGTCTCACCAAATGAAGTACTGCTTTGATGCATTTGTGCTTGAAGCTCTCTTTTCTCTTGTTTTCTGTTCTCCTTGCTGTTCTGCACAGTCCCTCTGCAATGCTGTTGAACGCTTGGAGCTTTTACAGCTCTTTGTGACGATGCCAGGTAGCATGTAGAAGTTTTATGCTGAGTGTCTTTAGATGGCTTGAGATCTGTATCTGCCTTGGAAAAACCTCTCGTGTCTTCCCAGGCCATGTTTTTTGGATCTGTATTAGTTTTACAGCATCTTTGCTCAGATGTAGAAGGTAAACTTTTCAGTTCATCTTCTTGGTCCCATTCTTCATGTAAATGCTCCATCTGTGTTTCTATTAGCTGAGGGGAGCTAAAATCTTCTGGTTTAAAATTCTGTTCCCTGTGAAAGGCTGGAAATGATGTCCAGTGGAAGTCTTTCATTCCAACTTTGAAAACTTCTTGGTTTTGTAGACTCTCTTCCTCAGAGCTCTGTGACATACCCACAATGTCTTCAGAACAAATCCATACACTAAAAACAAAGCTGGACATACTAAAAAGACAGAAAGCTAAACTACATTGGAAGCAATGAGCATCTTATTTACATCTATCTCCAGCACTTGCAAAGCAATTAACAACTTCCTAGAAGTGTCTTAACATTTCTAAATAATTCCCACTGAACACAAATAGGATGTTCTTGTATGTCCCACAGAGAACACTCACCTGCTGTTGTTTAGGGGGAGAAAAAAGATCTGCTTTACAAGTGCAGTGTCTTGTATTTTAAGATTGTATTCAGTAATGGAGCAGTGTAATACCTGATACTGTGTAATTAGTCTATTACCATTTACGTTTTCCCATTCCCTTCCTTTAGGGACGTGCTGGTACTTATGCCTGCACAGAGAACCTCTTTGCAGGAATTGTTCTTAGTTCCCTGCAATGTATGTAGAGTAAAGAGCTGCAAATCATCTATTTAAAAGTCATTTCAGAGCGTTGTCTCTGATACCCTCATTCAGACTGTCAGTACTGTAAGCATGGCACAAAGCGAAGACAAACAGCATACAATGCACTTCCTTTACCTTTCTGAAGAACTCTGGAAAATAGGGCACTGTTTGCCAACTTGTGCATTGTAAATCTTGACTGATGTTCCTCAGTAGCAAGCTCCATGTTTTTTCACACTCATTTAAATCATTTTTTTCAAACCAGGAACTTCTGTCAGTCGATGCTCTGAAAAGCAAGGGAGTTCCAGTAGTGGGGGTGGGGAGAGAGGGAAAAAAAATACATAGCTATTATTCTGCCTCTTAATTCATCTAGCGTAGTGCTGAGGTTTCCTAAAACATTTATGTTCCTAGCTGTTGCTTTAGCAACAGATGTTCTAAAATCAAATGTCCGCTAGCTGATGGTATATTAACCTATTTCAGCCCAACACAATGGCTAAGCAAGCTGACCTCCTCTGTTCCTGGCTAAGCACAAGGTAGGGGTTTTGTGATTGCAGACTGGCATGCCTCTTCCATTTGCACTGCACAGAATTCCCTTTTTACCTATTTACTGTTGATCAAGCAGCACTGTGTGCTGAAGGTAGCATTATATTTGACAATTTTGGCATGTAAAATCACAGAGAGGCACTTAAAAGCTATTTGTCAGTAGGAATAAGTAAACCAATGCAGACTTCTCACAGTTTAAAAGAAGTGAGACTCCCTGTGGAGGAAAAAAGTTCAGCTGTTTATTGTGCCGTTTGTTTATCAAGGGAACCTTTGTCTAGCCTACAGCAAGCTTCTTCTAGAACAAGGAGAAATTATTTTGTCTGTAAGCTCATTTTGCAGTCTACCCTTGTTTTCCAAATCATCCAGTAAAACAATTACATTCTACTTATAACAAATGAGATATAGGCACTTATTTTTGTCTTCATTTCTGAGTGGTACAGTGAAGTGTAGCTGCTGTTTTCTTCTCAAAGACCAAACGTGGTACCTGCTGAGCACGGAATCATTGTGTGCATTGAGGAAGGCAACGCTTCCTGTGTGTGCTCGGCTGCTCCCACGTGGCAATCTGAAATTACTGATTAGCTTTCTAAACAACTCTATCTAATCCTTCCTAGGAAGGCATTAGAAAGGATTAACCATAAAGTAAGCATAATAAGGGTTTTATGCGCGCAGGGTTGTATCGAGCCAATTGGAAGAGGAAGGATTGTCAGTGGGAATTGCGCTCTGCTCTTCTCGCTTCTGGCTGAAGCGTTTTCTGGGCTGGCAGCCCTGAGGCGATGCTGAATGATGAGGACGATTCTCAGGAACACCTGAGGAGGTTTTGGAAGGGCCACCTCTGACCGCAGGACCTCCTTTCCTCCATCCTCCCTTACCCGAGGGCTGGGAAAGAGAAACTCTTCCTGCTCTGAAGAAAGCCAGCTTCATTTTCACGCATCAGCTTTCCTCACCAGTCCCGCGAAGGCAAAGGCAGAAGGCGCAGGGCCCGGCGCGCCGTAAGTTTGGTGCATTTCAAGTTTTAATAAGACCTCGTGTGCTTTATGAAGGGACCTCAAACACAACCGCACAACGTGCTGGAGACGCAACGGCGCCCGAGGCGCTGCCCGCGGCCGCGTGAGGCGGTGCTGCCGCTTCCGCCCTCCGTGAAGGCGAGAAACGCCTCCCCACGCCAGGCCCCTTTCGCGGAGCCCTTCCCCGCCCTGCCCGCACTCACTGGCGCTCCCGGCCGCAGGCTGTTGGCGCCTTCCTGGCCTTGAGGCGCAGCTTGGCAGCTCCTTCCTCAGCCATGGCAGCGGCACGCGCGGGGACGATTGAGGAGGCGGCGCTGCGCGCGCTCGACCGTTGGGCGGAAAAGGCGCCGCCTCAGCGCGGCCGTTGGGCGACTCCGCCCTCAGAGCTGCGCCGGCTGAACGGTGAGGGAGGCGGGCTGAGCGGGGAGGCGTCGCCCCGCCGCGTGATGGGCGCTGCTCGGCCCGTAGCGAGTTAACAGCTCGGGTTGGAAAGCTATCTCCTCAGTAATAAGTTGTGTTTTTGAAGCGTTCTGGTCAACGCGGGGGTTGGAGCGGCCGCCTCCCGCTCTGCGCAGCTGTGAGGGAACGGCTCACAGCAAAACCCTGCGTGGGTCTTTGTGCCCTCAACAAAGTGCTGCGTGCTGCCGTGCGGGGCTGCAGCCAACAGCTGCAAACTTAAGTATTAAAGTAGATTAAGAGTACATCTCAGATCTGATTCCTTCTCCAGAAAAAGCGATGCTGATCAGTTCTTCTGGCAGGACGGTTTTGAGTGTTTTTCTCATCTGCTGCAGCACCCCAGAAGTAACTGTGATGCTTTTTGCTTCTGCCGCCATTTAGAAGCTGCTTCCCTGAGAGAGGAGATGAGGTTCCACCCTGGTTTTCCTTTCCACCCTGGCAGGGCAGGCACTATCAGCATCCCAGGCAGAACCAGGTGAGAAGTGGTTTTAAGAAATGGTTTGAAGTTGATAGAAATGGTTTAAAGTTGAGGGAGGGAAGATTTAGGTTGGATATCAGGGGAAGTTCTTTGCTATGAGAGTGGTGAGGTGCTGGAACAGCTGCCCAGAGAGGCTGTGGATGCCCCGTCCATCCCTGGAGGTGTTCAAGGCCGGGTTGGATGGGGCCCTGGGCAGCCTGGGCTGGTGTGAAATGGGGAGGTTGGTGGCCCTGCGTGTGGCAGGGGGGCTGGAGATTCATCATCCTTGAAGTCCCTTCCAACCCCGGCCATTCTGTGATTCTGTTTGGAGTGCTGAATATGGAGCTTTAGGGCTGCAGGAAGGACCGCAGTGATGGCAGCAGACAGCAAAGAACAGCAGCAGGAAATAAAGAGTAGGTGGAAAGAGGGGCTCAGCCGTGTGAGCGGCTGGAAATGCCGTGACAAGGGCAGTGAGGTCTGATTTTATTTGCTGGCCTTCATTAAGGCTGTGAATGATGTTACACTACTAATAGCCACCGCGTGGCGGCAGCAAACAGCACAGAAATCCTGCTTGAAGAAAATCCGGGGGGCAATGAGAGCTTTTTGGCTGAGCTCGCGTCTGCAGGCGCCTGTGCGTATTCCTGGGTGCATCTACAGGAATGATTGCTCACACCGCAGTTCCTTCCTTTGTTCCTGTGATGTCTGTCAGTGTTTTACCCATCTTGTGACCCCTTGCAATGTAGCTGGGCAATCCTCTCCTCCTAAAGCATGCGTTGCACTCGCAGGTTGGTGCTGTTAGGTATGGTCATCAGAAGTGTTGGCTGTTTTTCATGCTGCAGGTGTTGCTGTGTGGTACTATGACTCGTGCATTAGAACGTTTGCAACAGCTTTGTTACGGGTGAGCTTAAAAATTAATTATTGTGCGGCAAGGATGACAAGTGACAGAATATAATGAAAGGAATAGTGGAAATTACTGGTGTAGCTGATGATTTTTAATTTGTATCTTTCCGGAATTAAAAATGGACTTGCCGTAGCATAAAGGTGAAGAGTGAAAAAGGACCTGCTCCTGGTTCTGCCATGCTGGGTGAGATCATGCTATAGTTTCCTCAACTGGCATGGAAATCCCATTACTTCTCTCTTGACTTTGAGTCTTCCTTAATTCAATAACTGCAGTTGTTTTGTGATCTTACACAAAAGTTCTCATGGAAATGCAAAGACAAGTCTTTATCAGCAGCAGCCTTAACTGGAGTTGAGCCAATGGTCGAAGGATTTGAGCTTTTGGAAGCTAGAATGCTTCTACAGATTATCTTTAGGGATTTCCTTGTAAATGGAGTGCCAGCATGTGCAGTTATCTACTCCCTGTAGAGGCTCATCGAGCTGCACATGCTTAATCTTTACTTACATGTTTCCCGATTCTTGCTGTAAATTGGGCCTCAGTTTTAACTTTTGCTCTCAGGAAGAAGGGGCTATTATAACAAATTCTAATCCTTTTGCAATTCCACAATCATTTAAGCCTGCCAAACAAACCAAGCGATCTTTTCTTGGGCTGAGGGAAAGAGGAGAGTGTAAAACGCAGGTGGCAGCATTTGCTGGGGAAGAACTGGTACATTATCAACTAATCCGCCTTCTGCTATTTCTGATTTCCTACCCAACAGCTGCAACATTGAATGAGAGCTTCTGCATTTGGGAAGAATTAGAAAGCCTGGTAATGCAGGGTCTCTATTACAGATACAACAGCTCACAGACAGGGAGGAGATTTTTGCTGCCGGTGTAGAATTTGGAGTGTCAGGCGTTTGATAGCCTGGACAAATTGTAATTTTCAGCTATTGTTGTGGAGTATTCGACGAAGAAGTGGCACCGTGGTCTCTGCAAGGTTTCTCTCAGGGAATGATATAATTGTATGCATGAGCTACTATCTTGTTAACAAACCACTTTGAGGCTAAAGCCCACACAGTTGTTAAAACTTTTATTTATTTTTTATGACAACTGATGCTGTCAGATAGTTTTGGTCCTTTTAGATATCTTTGGTTCTGTAGCAATAGCTCCAGGATCAGAGGATAACGTTAAGAATAAACAGTGCTTTGCTAGAAAATTGAAAGGTTAGTATGTTGTGATTACTTGTTCTAACTCACACTTGGTTAAGGAGTAGGTGTTGATAAATTTTGTTCTTGTCAAACATGCTGTGACTTCACTCTAGAATGAGCATGTCCGTTCTGCTAAATGCTGTACAGAAAATGTCCCTAAAGATAGCACAGGGAGCTGAAGTACATGTAGTAAAACATCAGTGAGAACTCCTGCAGCGATGGGACTCCAGCATTCTGTCCTCTGCAGCCCAGCAGCAGCAAATGCGGCGCTGGGAAGAGAAACTCAGCCTTATGGGCTCACACAGTACAGACAGCTGTCTGCAGAGAGATGGGAAATTCTGACTACTTTCATTGATGGGACGTATTACAATTCAAGCCACAAAATTAAGAAAGCTGTGAAAGATTTCCTTTAGCACAGGCAGGAGAATAATGATGACGTGCAGTTTCATTCTGAGAAGTGTGAGCCCATTGCCATTTCTTGAGAAAATCAGCTGAATGGAGACAGTTATGTAAGCTCTCCCTAATTTTAGTGCTAGGTGACGTAGCCTCCAATGAAAAGTCACTGGCTTTGGAACCTGCTTCCTCCAGTACCGCACCGGAACTTGAATTTGTTGATGTGCACAGATGAGTGAGCAGCTTATCTTTTCCATTCAGCCTTCCCATTCAAAGAGTAGGAACAGGTTCAGGACCTGTGTGGCTGTACGTACAAAATCCAGCCATGTGACATTTATGTGCCGAGACAGGAAGACCTAAAAAAGAGGGCTGGGGAGAGTGGCATGGCATTTGTGGGTACCAGGTTGCCAAGGAGGCATATTGTATTGAAACAGTTGCCTGGGAAACATTTAAAAATACGTTGAGTGGAAAAACATATGTGATGTGCCCACAAGTGTTCTGTGTGAATGAAATGCCATAGCTGATGATGGCACCAAAAGGCTGTTACTATTACATGAAAAGGTGCTGCGAGTGATGTTTTCTTTTCCTGTTTGTTTGTTTGCTGTTCTCCCTGCGTCCTACTTGAGGGAGGTGTGCTGGAGGAGGATTGCTTTGCTCCTGGCCGATGGACTGAAGTAAACAGAGAGAAAAAGGTGCATACAGTCATCACTGTCATCAGCAACTGGAGATGGTAAGAGTCATTTAGCTTCATTTAGACAACCTAAACCAAATTGTCAAGGAGCCTGCACAATGACCTCAAGGTACAAGTAACAGCAGTATTGAAACTACTGCAGTTCAGTAAAAATAAGTGGCTCTCTGAACATACCACTTTAATTTGTGCTAAGATCGTAATTTGGGCTCGGTTTGCTTAAGGTTCTGAGTAGATCCAATGGAAAACTGTGGATCAGATAAAGTCTTCTGTGTCTCAGTCACGTCCTGGTATCACTCATCATTTTTCTGGCCCACTGTGCGTTTGGTTAAATCAAGTCCTGATGTTTCTAGGCCCTGGGGTTAGTGTGAGAGAGGCGGGGAGAATCTGCCTTTCATCTTCCTCTACAATTTTGCAATGTGACTGAAAACTGTTGGAGAGAATGTTTCAGATCTCAAACAAAGATTAGGTTTGATGGCATGGAGCCCTGGGTTCTGTGGCCCAGCCTAGGATTCTGCTGAGGGAGTTGTATAATCTGCCCACATTTTAAAGGATTTTGGCTCTGAAATTGGATCAAAAATGTCTTGAGGTTTTCACATTTCTCTGTTCTTTGTTTTGTTTTGTTTTGTTTTTTAACGTGTATCTCAATATTGTGGCCTATAGCCATTTGAATTTGTCCTGTTTTCTGTGCATCCTTTGAAATCAATGTACTTAAGGGCTCCACCAAAAAAAAAAAAAATAAATAAATAAAAAAATCCATAAGTAATAGCTGCAGTA